GCAGAGAATGGTCAATATGACAGCACAGGTAAACATGCTCACCTTCTTGCACAACCACATCGAAATTACAACTAAACTGCAGACCAAACATCACTCAGAACTGTCAGATTGAGTTGAACAGAAGTCTGACAACTACAGAATTAAAGAAACCGCATCCATCCAGACAGGTCGGGGGGTAGATATGCATGACAAGATGTGTTAGTTCTACATCCACGTGCAGATAAAATTTTGGGAGGGATATCTCAGGAGCGAAGAATCCCAGCCCCACACCAAGCCTCACAGCCCAGGGTTCCAGTGCCAGGAAGATAAATCCCCATAACTTCTGGCTGGAAAAACCAGCAGTGATTAAGTTGGTGGAAGAAACTTCTGGAGTCCCAGTGTCTTTTAAAGAACCTGCACGCAGACTCAGACTCACTTCCTCTGAGCTCTAGCACAGGGGTAGCAGCCTGAAAGGCACCAGTGCATGCAGCAGGGGCCCCAACACCAGGGCCTTGTAGAGGCAGAAGTCTGAGGCCTGTTAGGAACCAGGCCACAAGCAAAACTCACCCGAGCTCTGCCTCTTGTCCCATCCCCAACCCCCTCATCCAACACCTTCCACAAAGCTGGTCCATGGTGCCAAAGACATCGGGGACTGCTGGCATACAGGGAGGAACTGAGGTGTCTAGCACCAAGGTGAGAGAACTGGAGGTAGTGTGTTTCCAGATAGAAAAGTGGGCAGAGGCCATTGTCCCTCTTCTTTTTGTTTCCGTTTTATTGTTGTTCAAGTACAGTTGCCTGCCTTTTTCCCCATCCTCTCCCCCACTACTTCAGCTATCCTTACCTCCCTCCCCTGATTCCGCCCCCCTTGGTTTTGTCCATGTGTCCTTTGTGGTTATTCCTGAAGACCCTTCACCCTTCCCCCCCCCATTATCCCATCCCTCCCCTAGTCTCCTTTCTGGTTACTGTCCATTTGCCCTTAATTTCAATGTCTCTGGTTATATTTTGCTTGCTTGTTTGTTTTGTTGATTAGGTTCCACTTAAAGGTGAGATCATATGGTATTTGTCTCTCACCACCTGGCTTATTTCTCTTAGCATAATGCTCTTGAGTTCCATCCATTACACAATGGAATACTACGCAGCAGAAAGAAAGGAGCTCTTAGTCTTTGTAACACCATTGTCCCTTTTCTAAACCACCCATCACAAAGCCACAGACCTGCAGGTAGGGACCATATCTGAGACTCCATTCACCTGGCTAACATTGTTTGCCCCACCCTGGATATCTTGAGACCCCCATCATACCAAACTAACCAGCCCATACAAGTTGTTAACAGAGACTTTTCCACATTGATTGGTTGGTCCTGGCTCATGATTCATAACTTCCTAAATCCTCTCAGTTAAGCAATAACCAGCCTCAGTGAGGCACAGCTACTGTACGTCTTCCTAAATGGCCCCGGGCTCAGTATAGCAGAAGCCACCCTAGATTCACAGCTTGGCTTCCCATGGGAAAATCCAAGCACAGCACAAGTAGCAGCCATCTCAGACTGCTTTATAGCTCAAGCAGGGTGGCCCTGGGCAGAACGCAGGTGGGGGCTGACATTGCTTACAACACCTAGAAAATCCCAAAGCCTATGCATTCAGTGGACATCTACAGACCACACTGGAACGCTTCCACCCTGCCCCTGGACAGCCGACCCTCCACAGAGGGCAGAGGTTTTGTGGTCAGTGGTCACAGCCAGTCCTTGCAGCTAACTGGCCTGGGTAAATCCCTCTCATTTACTGGCCAACAGCAGTCAAGTCTTAACTATAAGAGGAGGATGTACTCAGCCCACATGGAGGGTGTACCTCGAGTACCCAGCTTGGATGATAGGGCTAGCTGTGCCACTGGACCCTACAGGACACTTACTACATTAGGCCATGCTACCAAGACAGGGGGTCATAGCAGCTGGACCTAATACATAGAACAAACACAGGGAGGCTGCCAAAGTGAGCAAAGAAACATGGAAAGAATAGATCAATACTCCAGAAAAAGAACTAAACAAAATGGAGATAAGCAATCTATCAGACACAGAGTTAAAAACACTGATTATAAGGGTACTCAAGAAACCTAGGGAGGACCTCAACAGCATAAAAAAAGATCAGAAACAAAGGATACACTAACTGAAATAAAGAACAGTTTACAGGGAAACAACAGTAGACTAGATGAAGCTGAAAATCAAATCAATGATTTGGAACATAAGGAAGGAAAAAAACAAAACAAAAAAATAACCAGAACAACAAGAAGAGAAAAGAATCCAAAATGACAAGGATAGAGTAAGCAGCCTCTGGGACAACTTCAAGCACTCCATCACTCACATCATAGGGGTGCCAGAAGGAGAAGAGAAAAGGCCAAAAATTGGACACCTGTTTGGAAAAAATAATGAAAGAAAACTTCTTTAATTTGGTGAAGGAAATAGACATACAAGTCCAGGAAGCACAGAGAGTCCCAAACAAGATGGATGCCAAGAGGCCCACTCCAACACATAGCATAATTAAAATGCCAAAGGCTAAAGATAGAGAATCTTAAAAGTAGCAAGAGAAAGGCCATCAGTTATGTACAAGGGAGTTCCCATTCGACTGTCAGCTGATTTCTCAAAAGAAACTTTTCCAGCTAGAAGGAACTGGCAAGAAATATTCAAAGTCATGAAAAGCAGGGACCCATAGCCAAGATTGCTCTACCCAGCAAAGCTATCGCTTAGAATGGAAAGGCAGGTAAAGAGCTTTCTAGACAAGAAGAAAACTAAAGGAGTTCATTACTACCAAACTATTATTATATGAAATGTTAAAGGGACTTATTTAAGAAAAAGATCAAAACTATGAACAACAAGATGGCAATGAATATATATCTATCAACAATTGAATCTAAAAAACAAACTAAGCAAACAAGAACAGATGCTCTTCTATGGCTAGATGCTCTAGCCATAGAACCATGGCTACAGAGAGCATTTTGATGGTTGCCAGATTGGAAGGGAGTGTGGGGACATGGGTGAAGAGGTGAGGGGATTAGAAGTGCAAATAGGTAGTTATAAAATAGCCATGGGGATGTTAAGTATAGTATAGGAAATGGAGCAGCCAAAGAACTTACATGCATGACCCATCGATATGAACGCTGGTTGAGGGACTGCCTGAGGGAGTGGGGGATGCTGGGTAGATGTGGACAAAGGGGGAAAATGGTAAATATTTTCAAAAGGGGGGACAACTGTAATAGCATAAACAATAAAATGTAATTAAAAAACTGTTAGTGCAATGTTTAAAACCAATGGATCCAACGAAATAGAAAAGGGACCACTTTTTAAATAATATATTAAAACTTACTGAATGCATTAACAAGTCATTAGCATAGAAAACCACCAATCAAAAAATTATTAAATGAACAAAAGTTATACTGTGGAGTGGTTAGAGTACAGACATTGTAACTACAATTAGCTACAAGTTTTAGACAGAATCCCCTAATGAATCTTAGCAGAATGCTATTGTTTTATTGAGAAGCACTAAAACTACTGGTAATGAAATATTCAACATGGTCCATTTGTACTTGAAAAGACAAAAATGATACTACAGAAGGCACTGCATAAGTTTCCATTGATGTTCCAGCTGCACCAAATGACGGTATCTAGGCTCTGCAACAAAGGCTCATTCTAAAACCCGGAGCTATGGTGTCATTCCATGCATTCACAAATCTGTATTCCATATTAAATGATAGCTCCAACACAGTAAATCTAATACAATCCAAGCCTCTAGGGCCATGCCTGGTTTCAGATTCATAAGAAGAAATGCTCTTAGAACACATCACTGCTGTTATGTTAAAATTAAACTAAAGTGTCATGAAAACATTTATAGATTCAAAGCAGAAATATTACAATTTTATGTTTAAAAGAGTTCACTAGTGATATTTGACAGTGTCAAAAATCATAACACTAAAGTAGAATAGTTGCAACTAATGAAATGTAGGTCTCATTTAAGAATACTCAATATGAAAATGTGTGAATGGACTCAAAACCCATACTTATCAAAAGAATTTTTAACATTATATTTGTAAATGGAAGAGTAAAAAACATATGAGGTTTTTAAAAAATTTATGTACAATTTAAAGAATTGTTTGAATTTTACTTATCAGAAGGAAAATAGTTTCATTGCTTGAGAAGTCTTATTCAGGAACTGCACATAGCAACTTCAAGCATAAAATCATACAATTTTAATATTTAATGTATTCTTGATGTATTGCTTTTATTTTCTTTATAACTAATATATAATGTACACAAATAATAAATGTTTTCATTTAGTTTCCTAGGTTGATATTCTCTAGCCCCCTTAACTTATCCTTGGATGCCACATGATCCCATTTCTCATGTGCTACAGGTCATGAAAAAGGTTTGGGAAGCATTAGCATAGTTTATAGAGTACACAGTGTCCCCAAATTGGAGATCTGAAATGGCAGTAAGTGAAAACAAATACAGGAACATTACCTGAGGGTTGCATTTACCTCTAAACTGAATCCTGAGATCTCATGGGCTTAGTAAAATGTTTAAAAATATACTATAATACCTTGATCAAAACTTACCATAGATTCAAAAATGTATATAAAATGTGTTTTTTCTCTATAAAATATGGTTACAATTTCAACTTAATAAATATTTTCTTATATCGTAATTTCACCAAGTATTTCTAAGAAAGCAACAAAGAATATTTATTTAATAGTTCCATTTTTGTATGTAGAATTTTATAACTTATTAAATGACAGGTTTAAAATTTAATAATACACCTATTATCATTAATCTGCCATTCAGCTACCATTAGGTAAGACACCAAATATTTGAGAAAATGTTAAATCTGTATCTTCAAAGAGAATCACTCAAAAGCGTTCACTTAGAAAATAAATATAAATTAATGTGGAAAGCTCTACAAATCAAATAAGAAGACCTCAGTGAATTTAAAGAGGATTTAAAATTTAAAACACTCCTTTAAAACAGACTAAAAGGTCTTACAGAAATATGTAGTCTTGGCAGCCAAAGGAAAGCGGAGGCCAGAAGCCTGGAGAATTGCTGCAGAAACCGGAATGTTTTCTGTCTGTCCCCCAACATCACCATGAACAGAGAAGACACAAACCAGTCGTGGCCAGCACAACCGCCCTGCAGGCAGACTGGGAAGGACAGTTAAGGAACTGTTATAATATCTTATCTGGTAACATTAAACACAACAACTCCATAAATGAGTGGAGTCTCTATGAGGAAAGATACATTAATGATTCTTAGTCCTCATTTCGTCATTAACCAATTTACAACATATTAATATAAAATTACATATTATAAAGTAAAAAATGACACAGTCACTATTATAATGTACTACTTAAGTGTCCAGTGGAGGCCAACAGCACTAGTGACTGGAGGGAAATCTATTTGCTCTGTAGAAACACACCTGTTCAGGTCATGAACATAACTGTACCATCTGTTCTGTAATCCAGGTTATCTGCTAAATTACTAGCATAATCAAGTATTCAAAAAATTCACACATTTGTAGATTCAATAATGCAAACACTACTTTTTTTCTTCAAGTCAAATTCTATTTCTAAAATATAACCATTTAAGTAAAATAATAAACAGATTAAAAAATTCTTATTATAGATTTACTAAATTTAGGATAAGCTTTTTTTTTACATCAACTAACTGTATTTTTAGAAATTTCTTATATTTGTCTAAAAATATATCCTAATAACTTTATTATTCAGTTCCAGATTCAATGAATAAGACTGAATTTAATAATCACAACTCAATTTAATAAAATGTGTATTTCAGATACTATGAAGATAGATCATAAAAAACAGTAATACAGGTTATTTTACTATAAAAGTGTTAAGGTGCCCCATTAAAATTATGAAAACCATAGGAAGGAAGCTGAATCGTGAATCCACTCGAGAAGGATACGAAGAGGAGACTTTGCAAGAGCTCGCTGCTGGTTCAGGAACCTCTCGCAGTGCTGTAAGACCCAGGCAAGGTCATTGTCTGCACCATCTTCTAACAGGTTGAGGAATTTGCCATACCTACATTAAAAGCCCACAACACATACAAAATGATAAACGTCAGGGCCGTTTTGCAAATTCTTTTTTTTTTTAAAATTTTTAGAGAGAGGGGAAGGTAATTAGAAAGAGAGGAAGAGAAACATCAGTGTGTGGCTGCCTCTCACATGGTCCCTACTGGGGACTGGGCCTGCGACCCAGGCATGTGCCCTGACTGGGAATGGCACCGTGACCCTTTGGTTCGCAGCCCGTGCTCAATCCACTGAGCTACACGAGCCAGGGCACAAATTTGTTTTTTTAAATCCATCAAAGCGTAGTCCTCTTGAAATCTTAAGGTTTTAATTTTTCAAATTTCTACTTTTGGCTTAACTATGCTCTGCAGAGCACTTAAAAACATTAACACTCAATATATGTTACTGATAACTTTGATATATTTGGATTATTGGTATTCATCTGGTAAGTACTGGTAACTTTAAAGGAAAATAAAACAATAATGAGAGAACAAATGTAGATACCACAGATATAGAGGAAGTAGAATATAAGCATTTTATCTTTAACTTAATCTAAAACACTGAATATTAACAGATTAAAATCTTAAACCTAAGAAGCAATTTTAAAGTTCCCATTCCAATGATTCTAAGTGGGAGTGGCACTTCCCTTGGGGCCACTGTGGAAATTTACCGGGGCTTTTCTTACTGACACAGTGACTGGGAGTGCACCCAGTAGTCAGTGAGTGAGGGTCAGCAGCTTGTACGTGGGGCAGCATGACAGCAACCTGCAAATGCCCTGCCTGTTATTTGCATGGATTAAAAAGCTCCTTGTCATTCTCTAAATCTAACCATTTTATATAAAATCACAAAATTTTTCCTATATTTTTTACATACACTGAATGCAGCCATGTGTATAAGAAATCGGAAAAAGATAGCACTTTATTTCATTTGAAGTCTTACTAAGCTGTGTTCACCACTTTGGAAAGTCACTTTGCCAATGGCAGCTCTCTTGCAGTGTTTGACGCACCAAAATAAAATCAGTCTCTTTTTGCCTCTGCCAGAGTCGCGATGGTTTTATGTGACTGCCAGCTATGTTTTAAATTGTTGTTTTATACAAACACTTGCTTGTAAATCATTTTCCATCTATTTCTTACCAATAAGACATTTTATTGAATTTTAAAAATTGTAACTAGACTGCTTATAGTATCTACAGATTGTATTTCACCACAGAAACCGGGCATTTAAAATAAAAAGCAGGTTGCAAAACAATCAATGTTGTATGCCCTTTGTTACAAAGGTGAGCAAGCTAGAATTAGTACCATTTTCAGTATAATGCTACAGATTTATAAAAACAGTCTACTTAATATCTTTCACACGTACCTTTCTAAAACTTAATTCTGATTCTGATCCTTCAGAATGGGACTATCAATATCTCCTTTTAATAAGCAAAACTGGTGGGGGAGGGAGGGAGCTGGTCAATGAGGAGTCTTAACTCCCAGTCTGTTTAGCTTGCCTGTCTCCTTTGAAAAATACAACTTGAGCACTAAAACTTCTAGCTACTATAATTGGTTTATTCATTTTAACTTCTGCATCTGTCCTGAAGGGACTTTTGTACTCATCACCATAGTTGAACAATTTAAACTAATCGTATTTTTAAAAATGACAGGATTGTGCTACCAATGTGCCGATTTTTATGATGTTATTTTTGGGAAAAAACGATAGTCTTAAATACTTAAGAGACTTAAATACACTGGAATTAAACTCTGATATAATAATGAATCATAACTGATATACCTACAGAGATCAATTAATCATGTCCTGATGTCCTCAAAATAAAGTTATTTTCTGAATGATAAATTATGTATTTAAAATATACAAAACAGTTAGTTATTTAACACTATTAAGCACATATTGGGTAGATTAAGAAATTCTAGAAATATATGGGAGAGCCATTTCCCTGTAACATACCTGACAGTCATTTGAATGCCAAGCTGCTGCACCAGCGAAAGACTTTCATTCTTCACATTTGCATCATTGGCTAAAAACAACAGAAAACTGGATATTAAAAAATATATAAAAGTCTGCATAATAATCACATTTTAATTGAAAATTGATGAAGGCAATATTTCACTTATTTTAATGTGAATTTTGAAAACATTGATGAGTTTGTTCTTTTAAGAGCTGTTACTTATATTTTCAAAAGAATTAACAGGAAAGATTTTACAAATAAAAGAAAGCATTTTAAAAGACTGTTAAATTCAGAAGCAACTAATCGTAGATTTCAGGTGATCTCTTTTTGGTTCTCAAAGCACAAAAGCCATTAACCCCAAGTAGTCGAGAATATTGTCTTTTGTTAAGCAATGCATACGTAAGATTTTGAATTACAAATTATACACTTTTTAAAGAGTTGAACAAGAGTCTCAGAAAGGAATAACCAGGATTCTAATTACAATGCATAACAATGGAGGAGGATGGAGTGAACAAACTCCTGTTGCAGGCAAATTCCCTGAGAAGTAGGAATTGCGATTATGGACCAGAAATGAAGACTGGGGTTCCCTTTGAGCACATCCTCATCAACACTTGTTGCGTGTTAATTTACTGATGACAGCTAAGTGAAATAAGCCAGTCAGAGTAAGAAAATACCACATTATCTCACCTATATGTGGAATCTAATGAATAAAATAAATGAACAAACAACACAGAGACAGACTCATAGATACGGAGAACAGACTCACAGCTGTGGGAGGGGAGGGGGGTGAGAGCGGGGTGATAGAGGGATTAAGCAAAAAGAAAACAAAACAAAAACCTCTTGGACAACATTATGGTAATTACCAGTAGAAAAGGAGTGGAAGGGTGTAGGAGAAGGTAAAAAGGGATTTGTGATGGTGGAAAAAAATTTAACTTGGTATGGTGAACACAAAATACAATATGCAAATGATGTATTATAGAATGGTAACCCTAAAACCTATATAGTTTTATTAAGCAATGCAACCCCAATAAATTCAATAAAAAAGGAAGAAACACCATGAATTATATACTTGCCTATTAATAAAAGTATAAAGACAGAAAAGTATAAAGATATAGTGAAAAAAACTGAAGAAGGGGTTGTTCACTACAGAGAGCTATAGGAGAGGGTGAAAATTTCGATTAGCCTTTGACAACACTGGATGACCAAGCTATCAATGAACACTAAAAAGCATCACTAGATAGCACTGAAGGTCTAGTTGAAACTTTCAGTTTTTGGCTAAAGAAATGGCAGTATGAGTCTCAACATTCACAATCACACAATATTAAGGGAATCGTCCAAAATCACATATTATCTAGTGGTAGAGAGGATCAAAAGCTACGTTTTCTGAGTCTCATATCATCAGTTTTCTTTCCTTCTCATTATATATTGGTGCATTACATGCTATCAATATAATCTATTTAACTCATGGACTAATTCATTCCTTTTAATAAACCTTTCTGGTAAAGTAAGTGTAGCACACCATGCTAGAAGCTCTGGGGGATAAAAGATAAATAATATATCATGCCCTAAAGAACTTTCCATATAGTGTCAGAGATAAAATTTATATATAGATAGCTCTAATTTTTGAAAGTGCTAAGAGGAATAAGAATGGTACAGATAAAGGATTATGTGAATTCAGAAGAAGGAGAGATGAGGAAGACATGGCATTTCAACTGAACCTTAAAATATGGGTAGACTTGAGATCTACAGAGATAGGGAAGAACAAATTAAACAACACTGTTATCAAACATCTGCTCTGAATGAACAATAATTCATCTTTTAGCACTCCTAGAGTTAAGGTAACCTACTTCTAGTTTATCTAGGAATTTCATGGTTTTAGTACTGAAAATCTCATGCCTAGGAATTCCTCACAGAACCAGGTAAATTAGACCACTTAGGTCAACTAGCTAAAGTGACCATTTTCATAAAGAAAATATATTCAGACAGACAGATATAAATGTCAGTTAATTCCTAAATTATTGATACATCTGAGTTTATTTAGATCTGAATACAAAATTAGCAATATTTTTACATTTTGCCTAATGACAACAGTTAAGCTATACTGTATTTAGCTTAGAATGACTTGCTGTGTAAAGCCATTTTATGCTAACAAATGTACCTTCTGTCCCTAGGGGAGAAGGACACCAGTCTTGTACTTCTACCAACAGGTTAAACATGGGAGACTATACAATGTCTTCTTCAGATTTTTCAAACTGGAGTGAAATAGGCATTTTCCCCACTATCAAACACGGCTATGAGGTACCCTAGGTCTCTCTCTAGTAGAGAAGAGTAAGTCCAACATACAAAGACAGGAGAGACAGAGGAAAAAAACAGGCTGCTAAGGACGCTTAACCCCATTTATATGAACAGAGGATTCTGCCTCATTTTCTCTTAGACAAAAAAAAAAGTTTGATTTAATTTTCCATCACTTGGTACCAAAAAAATATACATCACAAATGATTCTCACTCTGATAAAATAATGGTCAATTTTTAAAACTATTAATCATCACTCATATGTTCACTATAATTTCAAGCTTTTAATCTTATCAAAAGCATTTTCTTTCATTTGGCCATAATTTAAACACAGCTTCTGCCAATACCTAGTCCGGTTACATTCATCTGTGTCAGGCCCAGGAAGTTCTTCTCTCAGCACTTAAATCTGTTCCTGGTGATTCCATATTTCATGACTAATTATATTTTAGTTTCTCAAGTATAAATACATAAAACTTTAGTGGTATAGTGTTGGTGACACTGGCTGATTTTGACAAATTTAAATAGTTTCAGTAAGATAAACACTCTGGCTTTATATGCTCTTATAGCCATGGTACAGATCTACTTCCTATGATAATGTGATACGATGATAAGGTTGATATTTGTATATTGTTGCAGAAAACGTTAAGTGAAATTAAATAACACAGAATTCTGATACATATAAACTGGGATTATTAAGCATGAAAAATACTTATCTTCATTAACACACAGACCTGTGTATTTGAAATAACACTAATACTGAGTGAATGAATGAGTAGATGAATAAATGAAAGAACATCCATTGAACAACAAAATAAATTGTGTTTTATGTATCAAACTAGAAGCAAGGTAGAGACAGAAATAGATTTGAACTTAAAAATGTTTTCTGTATATTGGAATCAACTAACAAATAGGCAGCATAACTCCCTAATCCCTGGAATCACTACAAAAAGCTTAATAAAATACTAAGTTGTTAAAGACAAAAGTCAACCAAACAGTGACTCCTGCAGAGTGCGACTTACCCTCTTTACTTAACAATGGCTGAATTCAATCTGAGCATTACTGTTCAACTAGTTGAAATAACTAGGCATTTTAATTATAATATAATAGTCTCAGAACAACACGAGTTTAAAAACTTTCCTTACTAGTGACTGATATCCCTGACCCTGGTGATGCATTCTGTTCTGTGCTTGGTGTGCAGAGCTACCACAGACAGCAGTGGTAGAACGAATTAAATCTATTCCGCCTGGCACTTGGCTAATGGTGTGGAAAAAAATAAATTTTTAGAAGAGTAAAGCACTTCTCTACTGGAAGACAAATCCATGGTTGAAGAAGCAGTGACTGCTTGACTTTTCACTGACTCTCCTGAAGCCCTGCTGTATCTGTGGCAAAGGGAGAGAACTCTCCCTCAGCCACATAAGTCAGTCGGTCAGTATACTGCCTCCTACCCCCTTCCTTCCCCAGGCACTCTGCAGAGTCTGTTGCTTCTTTTCAACATGTGGTTGTATCTATCCGTTTTATTCAATTCTTACTGATATAAAATTCAATTTCTGGTAACAACGCCTGTCTCCGAACTGGCATAGTCAGTGTTGTTTGGTAAAACGCATGTCTTTTACTATGTCTTTAGTTAGGCAATTTACCCTTTTCTGTAGGTCTGCCCCTGTCCTGTTCCCTTCATCTGCACAGGCCCAGCAGGCAGTACCAGCTCACTTCTGCACTGTTATCACTTCCTTCTTTATCTTCCCTGATGGCACCTAGTCAACAATGATCCCTCTTTCCACTAAACGCCTGCAGCATGTACAGAAAAACCTTCATTTGATAAAAACCCAAATGCAAATAGGATACTTAAAAACCATAGCAGATTGCCAGAAATAATGCAGCCAGCTAAAAAAAAAATATCAGAAACAAATTTCTTTTATTTCCTCATTTGCTATTGTACTATATGCTTCAACTTACTTAATTCATTATTTGAGGTGCAGGCCCTACCTTCCTTCCTTGAGGAGAGGGACATACATATTACATCCCTACTTGCAATTGCATTACATACTCACAAACATGCTCCATAAAAGTAGGCTAGAAAATGAAATATCTGCTGAATATCCAAAGAGAATAAAAAGTGTTTAACTATATGTTAAGTTTAAAAATATTTTAGTAGTCAGAAGAAAAAACAATGAAAGTTTTTGATACTTTTCTCAGTCTTCTGATTAATAACATAAAGAGAAAAGTAATACAATTAAAGTATTTACTACCTTGAAAGGACTACTTTGTTTATCATTTCAAAAAAGCAATCAGAATCATAGAAAATCCCCAACATATCCAGGGAATTAAGCCAACAAAATGTCAATGTCTGTTAAGATTTGGAAAACTACCTGCATGGACTTACAAACAGCAAATGTGCAGAACTTTCTCTGTTCTTTCCTCTTTCTTCAAGGGGATAAACAGCCAAACTAATTTGATATTTTCAGATTTTATAATGGATTGGAATCCTGAGGGAACTAACAACAGATGGATGACTGTGTTATTCTAATTTCAGCTACCTTAGGGTTTAGCAAGCTGTCATTTTAAAAAAGACAATCAATTTCTCATTTCAAGAAACATGAAAAAACATTGAATACATTTATTCAGGATTTGCTTTAAAATATTCTTTATATCAAGTTTTTGTTTATTTAAAGTAAATAAAATGAAATGTTGTAACAGCAAAACATTGTTCCACCAGCCAAAAAATAAATGATAAATGATGAGGATATCTAAAGCCATGGGAAGAAAACAACACTACCAAC